TTTTTTTGTTTTTGTAACAAAATAAAATCTGTTTTTATTTATTTATTTTTATTTCGAGTTTGATTTTTGTAATCAAACATATTCTCTCATTTTCTTTATTTCTTTATATTCTTGTTATTATTTTATACACAACAGAATTTAACTTAATTAAATACAGTGAAAATTGCCCGACAGAGAGCACGTTGTCACCGGGATAGTGCTTTGAAGTTGTCTCAACTAGACCAGACTAATCCCTTGCTGCAGTGCGTAACAAACGTTCAACCGAGCAAAGACCAAGACTCTGCCCAAGACTAGCTCGGCTGGCTACCAGGCCATACATTTTCTCAAAAATAACATTGACCATTCCTATGATTGATTATCAATCTTGTAGGGCAAATGGTATATGATTGGTTTCTCAATCTTTGACATGAGGCGTTCAGTTTCTTAATTATCTTTCAACCCAAAATTAAAAATTAAAGCATCAATGCAATTGAAAATTTATATTAAAACAAACGTTATTTCAATATTTCGATTTTTTAGGAATAACCCCAACAAAAAAGAATTATGATTTTTTAATTTGTTTTTATTTTTTAGTTTGTATATTAATCTTGTTCTAACATGAGGGCCGGCCCAACTTGCAATGAGACTTATGGCGAAATCTCACTTAGAGACTTTTGTTTTTTTAATATTTTAGTAATAATTTAAATAACATTTATTAATTTTTTATATTGTGAATTTTTTATGTAAGAACTTCTTTTCTTCTTCAATTATTGTAATTAAAATTTTAAGAGTTTATTTACATGCTTTAATATTGGGGAGTGCACCTTTAGATAATGACTTTTATTTATTTATTTTTGGGCCTTTGAATATGAAGGTTCAAGGCCGAAAGCTACCTATCCTGATGCAAGATATTTTCGACTTATACTCTTTCGTTAAGTCTGCATATTGTTGCATTTCCGTTGTCATCAAATTCCATTCATGTGGGGGATTGTTGGAAATGGTTATAAAATTCTGGATAAAACCAGAATTTTTTCTTAAGTTTGATCTATTTTTTAGGTGGGCCCCGTGCGTCGATTTACACGGGTCAAAGTTGTCACGACGCCAAACTGCCCCTAGTAGTTTGGTGCCGTAATGGCCAGTAATCCGAGATTACCGAAGGCCAACTTACAAAATTCACACACAACAGAGTATAAATATATGGGGCTCACAAGTACGGAAGCGATACATACTAACAGGTTAGTCCATAAGAGCTGTGCATAAGTCAAATGAAATAGCAACCATCTTCATATGGGTTACAACTTAATTACAAATGAAGCAAAGTACAAATTACATCTTACATATTAACAAAGGGCTTCACAAGCCGACATAACAAAATGTACGAACCACAGGTCAAGGAACATGGTCTGCCAGGTTGCCGACATCCTCCTTGCCGACGTAACAATCAAACAAAACACACATCTTGATCAAAAGGCTTCTCAAGCCGACGTATGCAACATACAAGTATTACAAATCGAGAAGCATAATTTTCAAGTCTGCCGATGTCAATACAGGTTAAGCCGACATAATCAAAAACCCAAAATAAGCTCCAGAATCACATCTAGGCGTCACCGCCTTCTTGTTCATCACCTACATATATATAGAGAGGGTGATCTTGGATACTTAGTGAATGGTATAAATAATAAAGGAGTTTGCATGAATAATAGCCGAAGTCCTTTCAAAACTATACAAGACAAAACTTTATATATAACCAGGAATGAACCTCGTCCATCTAACAAATCTTCAAAGCTTCAAGGGATACTTACTAGCATCACATATTACAAATAATAACATTCCGGCAAACATATCCACGCGGTAAACCGTCAGTGGCAAAACAAGACAAGCAAGAGGGGCATCTCAAACAAGGGTGCTACAAAAGTTTAGAGTCCTCTAGCACAAGGGACTTCCTGAGAAGGTCATCACGACAAGATCATACTTGATATACAAAACAGGACAATTATTCATGCTTAACAAACGCTTTCAAAACAAAGCAAAACAAAGTCTTTATCAAAACGTATAACATAGCTTTATTAAATATCTTGCACAAAATCAAAGACAAAACAAGTTCATCTAACAAGTCTTTCAAGCTTCATCAATCAAAGTCTTTCAAGGCTTCCAAGTTTCAACGGATGACATTAACAAAGGTTGTGCTACAAATGCTTATAGTCCCCTAGCACGTATGGACTTTCAAAGGTTATTATCAAAACCAAGCTAATACTCGATACACCAAAATAGGGATAGTCATTCATGCTTAACAAATACTTTTCAAAACAAGCAAAGCGAAGCTTTAACAAAACGTTATAACATAGCTTTATTAGAAATACCACTCACCTAGTTCTTCAAATGTTGGGGTCAAAGCAAGTCCAAGTCCTCAAAACTCGAATCTAACGGTTCAAGCTCCAATGATCAAGCTTGAAAGTTCACTCTCTCTTGCTCAAACTTCTCCTTCTTCTTCCTAGAGTTTTTCTCTCTAAAAGGCAAGATTTGATTCAAAATGATATGTTTCTCACGACAATCACTGACTTAATCCCTCTATCGGGACACGTGGCATCGGTTGATTGGCTCTACTAAAAAAGGTGACTGACTGATTAGACAAGACCAAGACAAAATGTACTCAACAAGCTAAACAACAAGAGTACTCCGGCAAGTGATGATCTCGGCTAAGGGCAAAGCTTCGGCAAGCAGGGTAATAATGACATCGGCTTGGAAGGACAACACTTGACTAAGCTGTGCCACACCTTGGCCTAGATGTGCCACACTTCGGTCTAGGTCATACCATTCCAGGAACAAAATCACTAATGCAAGGATCAAGGATCTAGGACGCCTAGATATTAACATCTCGGCCCAGATGATGCACATCTCGGCCTAGGCGACGCGCACCTCGGCCTAGATGGTGACATCTCGGCCAGTATGCCAGGGTGAAGATGGAGGTCAACCAAAGGGGTGCCAAGATGGTTCTAAGTGATAAAGGTCTCGAAGGCGTCTAGGCTTAAGATGACCTCGGCAACACACCAGACAAGAACAAAGCATGCAAGCAATCATTTAGGCAAAACAAGACAAGATTTGCAAATGCACATATTAAAACAAGATCATCCATAAGTCTATGCGAGTATGACTAAGTTAAAATAAGGGTTGTTACAAAAGTGGTAACGCGCTCTATGCCGCGTTGTGATTCACGTAGTATATTTGGTTGCTCAAAACCATTACCGAGTGAATGGAAAATTGAAGCCAAAGTGTGCTCCATGGAAATGGAGTTTTGGTGGAAAACCCTTAAAGGTTTGAATAAGGCTTGTCCCACATTGATTTGGTGGGAAGTTTTGAATGGGTTTATAAGGCATGGGTTTGGTACTTGGGGTGTGCTCCAAGGGATACCCAAGTGTTTTAGAGGGAGAGGTTATGGGTAAAATGAGCTAGACCCATTAGACTCAAAAATCACCACACATGCGCGCCGTTCGGTCGGGCGGGTTGGGCTCTGCTTGGGCGCGGGTGCGTGTGCGTGTGTGAGGTTGGGTTGGGCTTGTTCGGCCCAATACTAATTTTTTTGGGTAAAAAACATTTGAATTTAATTTTATTTTTTGGTAAAGTAAAATCTAGAATTCAAATTAAACCGGAAATAAACTGGTTTAGTTTTACTGTACGTCCAAACAAGGCCCTTCCCAGAAATAAACTGGTCTGGTTTTACTGTACATCCAAATAGGGCCCTTCCCGTTTTTTTATCTATTTAAATTATGAACCCAACAGATTCAAATCTGTTTGAATTCAAAACCAACAGGTTTCATACTTGTTCAATTCAAAACTTGCAGCCACCTTTACATCTATAAATACGATAACCCTCATTTGATGTTTGAGATTTAGAAAATTCATTATTTTCGTCCTTAAGAGTTCTGCAAATTTATTCTTCATTTTGTTGCATTATTTTCTTGTGAGAAAGAGCTCAAAATTTTCGTACTCCATCATCTGCTATAAATCTCTGCATTTTGCTGTATTTAATTTCTGAAAGAAAAAGTGTAAAAACTTAGTGTGTTCGTAAGGCAAACAATTTGTAGTGCTGCTATTGTTTGTAGTAGATCATTTCATCCTGGGAGATAGACGTCCAAATTCTGAAAGCACCGTGGAGAGGACGAATCTGTCTTAAGGACACAGTGTCAAACACTGGACTTGATCAGATTATAATTCGAAGAAATTAAATCAAGTAAGTTATTTAATTTATTTTCAGTATTATTATTATTTATTTAAATCATATTTTAATTTTATTTTTGTAACAAAATAAAATATGTTATTTATTTATTTATTTTATTTCGAGTTTGATTTTTGTAATCAAACAAATTCTCTCATTTGCTTTATTTTTTTTTATTCTGGTTGTTGTTTAGTACACAACAGAATTTAATTTATTTAAATACAGTGAAGATTGTCCTACAAGGACTACTAGTGATGGCAGTGAAGACGACATGAAAGAAGGGGCTATGGTGGGCTAGCCAGAGAGAGAATAGTGCTAGAGAAGGCGATGGTGATTTGTGGTTGCGGTGATGATTGATGGGTTATGATTATGGTTAGAATTATGATTAAAATGTCGATGATAAATGTATTTTGAAAATTATGTGAGATTATGACGTGTCAATTGAGAAAAATAAAAAAATATGTAGAGTGTGAATTAAATGAATGGTGTGAACTCATAGTAATAGTATTATAGTGGTGTGAAAGTAAAACCTCTCCTGTGTTCAAATTTAGGATAATTTTTATAATTTTTCCATAATTTTTCAACTAGAAGAAGAAGAGGGCAGATTAAAACCATAGAAAAAGGGCAAGGCCGTGGGCGCAAGGGAGAGGAACGTTGGAGATCAACATTACGTCATATCAAGAAACGTGTACGGTTGATAGCATCCACTGTGTGTCCTTCCTTCCACTATAACCACTATAAATTGGGGTCATGGGTTCATTCCCTATTGCTCGTTCAACTCTTGTTTGCATTTATTGCTTTTCAATTTTCTGTCTTTTTCTTATAACTTTCTCTCCTAACTTTTTCCCTAGAAAATGTCTTGCTGCGGAGGAAACTGTGGCTGCAGCGGTGGCTGCAGCGGTGGCTGCAAGTGCGGCAACGACTGTGGCGGGTAGGACTTTGTTTTCATTTTGATCTCTGTTTGTTTCCCTAGATTGTTCGGTCTTGAAAATTTTCCCGGCAGGAAAGTTTTTCCTTGTTAAAATTTAGTACTTTCGTTCTGTAATTAGAACATGGGTATGTTGTATATTTTGACAAAAATACAAAATTTTGAAAATCTTTTGGATTAACTTTCAAGATTTCCTCAATTATTAATTAATATTATTTTAATTCCTCAACTATGAATTGGTACATATTAACTTGTCAATTTTGAAACCGTACAATATGACTTTTTTGGATGTGGTCTAGAGTGATGAAGATATAGAATTGAAGAGCAAAATGTATAGGTTCATAGATGAGCAATAAATTGATATTCATTACCAATTGAGGGAGTGTTAGTGTAATTAATCCAAGGAGTGTTTTGGCAATATGTGATTTTAATCAAAAAGTTACTATCAAATTGTCAATTTTTTTCTTTATTTTTTTTATACTTTCTTTTAAAATAACGATCAGGTGAGAATTGAAAAAAAAAAACCAATATATTGTATCCACAGCCTTTTATTTACACCTCTGCATTTGCACTTTGTAATTTTTCTCTCCAACTTTTACCTGCCTATAATTCTCCTCTTTTTTTAAAAAAAAATAAATAAATAAAATAAAATAGACCTCCTCCAAAACAACCATAAATATTTTTTTAATACTTATTTTTGTCAAAAAGTGGAAAAAATAGGTTCTAAAAATGAAAGCAAACAGATCTTTCATAGACAATTAAGCTGTGCTTTTGGTTTGGATCAAGGATTTAAGTGGGATTTATGGAAGAAAGAAAAAAATATTTGTGAAGAAGAGAGAGATAGAAGTAAAAAGCAAAGAAAAGAAGAAAAGTGAATTCTCTTTTCTTCTAGTTTCTTTTTACAAATCCTTAGTTAAATTTTTGATCCGAACAATTTTTTATTTTATTTTTTTAACAAATCCTTTCTTAAATTATGCATCCAAACAGAGCCTTAGATATTTTTATTTTTTATTTTTTTAGATGGTGAGCGTTTGTTAGTTTGTTTGTTTTATCTTTTTTGTATTGTTATTTGACTATCGCTCTAACACATGCCATAATATTATGGAGCAATTTTATTTTAATTTGTATCATTACAGTTTATATTAAGAGCAATTTTATTTTAATTTGTATCACTATAGTTTGTATTATTATATTTTGGTTAAAAAAAAAAAACCAATGACTATTGTAACAAAATAAACTCTTAATTTTTAATTTTGCTAATTTAAATTTAAATTTTTAATTTATTTTTAATTTAATTCATCTATTTATTTTTGTTAGGTATAAAATAGCATTTATCATTTAACTCGACGTAGGTATATATTAAAATGTTTATAAAAAATAATTTAATTTAATAATTAAAATATTATTTTTTTATCAATTTTACCTAACAATAGATAAATAATTTAAATTAAAAACAAATCAAAGATTAGAATTTAAATTAATAAAATTAAAAAGGGTATATTACAAATACACTCTTGAAATTTGATTAAAATACAAATTGCTTGTTGTGGTTCTGGAAATTACATTCCGCCTCCTGAGATTTGTAATTTCATAACAAATCGCCTGTTTTATTGATAAATCATCAAGTTAATTAACAATTTTTAATGATATTATAAATGTGTTTTAATTAATAATTTAAGTAATTTTATTATTGTATAAGAGAGTAATTATGAATTTCTTTTTTTAGTCAATTCTATTAAATAAATTTTTTTAATAATGGGGTATTTGTAATTTTTCAAATTACACAAGGCAATCTATATTTTAAGTAAACTTAAGGTGTATTTATAATTTACTCAATTAATTATAGTTTATTTTGTTATAATTCAAACCTTGACGCTTTTTTTTTTAAAATTTTTTCAAAAAAATTATCACCCCTTTTTTTAAAACTTTTTTTTATATTTTATTTTATTTTAAATTCTTTCTGGATTACCAATTATTGAAATATTTATCCAAATAATAATTCATTAATGTTGTATTGGGTTAGGAGATTTGGAAAAGAATTTAAAAAAAAAAGAAGAAAAAAGTAAAAAATAAAAATAAGCAAAATATAAATTTTATTTATATTTTATTTTATTTCATATATTTTTTTCTTTTTTTCTTTTTAAACTTCTTTTTAAATCCTGCAACGAAACACAACACAACGTAAAGATCCGCCCTTAATTATTTTATGATTTGGAATGCTAAAATTTCTGGATAATATGATGACAGATGCAACATGTACCCTGACATGAGCTACTCAGAGACCACCACTACCGAGACCCTTATTGTTGGTGTTGCCCCTCAGAACACGTATGTATCTATTCTTTATATATATATATATATATATGTGATCTTTGTAATTTTAAAATTTTTAGATAATTTGTTTGATAAATTAGAAAAATATATGGTAGTTTAAGGTAGTTTGATTAGTAAGAAATTTTTTTAGTTATTATTGGATATGACAATTATTGAATATGGAAGGCATTCTTGAAATTTAGAAAGACAATAATGATAAAATTAGCAGCTATTGAATATGATTGAGCATTTTGAGAATAATAATAAAGTGTTCGTATCAAGTGTGGTTTACGTTTTACATAATAGAATGAGAAAAGTTAGGGATCATGAAAATGATCATGAAAGATTTATAATCTTTGGATTATCTTGATTAATGTGTGGTGCTTTATTCTAAGTGTAATTCAAGGGTCACAAAATTTTCATGATTATTTTCATAAAAGGTTTTTCATGATACTTACCATTGCTGAGATAAAATACATATGTTTTGTAAGATAATTTTATATAAATTGCAAAGACGAAAAAGCAATTGCATTTTATGGAGTGCAAGTGAGTTTGTATCTCCATGAATTTGTAATTTTTTTTTTTCAATCAATCATTCATCTAGGAAAAAAAAATTATACCCAAATCTTTTACATCTTTTTTTTTTTTTTTTTGGTATAGATATATACCCAACTCTTAAACACCAGATAAATGCAAAATAAGAAAACAAATTGTAAATCATTATTGTATTGCAAGTGAAAATTGTGTTTGGAAGGCGCATCTCACTTGTACTTTATTAATTTATAATTATTTTTCTAATTTTCATTTATCTGATATAAAAATTTAAGAACACAAAAATCAATCGTCGGACTTGCACAATTTCTCACATAACGTGAGTCTAATTTTTTTTAAGTTCTACACATGTTAAAAGGTCATGGCCCATTCTATAATTGGTTTTTGTGCTAGGCCAGTAAAACATATCTTATATTCTACAATCTAATTTTATTAATAACACTTGTTTTTGCAAAATTCATTTCCATTACAATTTTTTTTTTAAAAAAAAAAATTAAATGGAAGTTACATAGATATCTGACGCATATTTCTAATTTTATGTGCGGACACTTTGTGGGATCTGAGATGGGTGTGGGAGCTGAGAATGGTTGCAAATGTGGAGCCAACTGCAGCTGTGACCCTTGCACTTGCAAATGAGCAAATGACAACTTCCTAACTAGCCTTGTACAAAGCCAGAGATGAGAAGATGGTTCTCTCTCAACAATAATCTAAATACATATGTAATATGTATTTATATATGTATAACAGAGAAAATTGGCTTAAGGTCCCTCCTCTACTTTTGATAGGAGGAGAGGTCTAAAATAATATGTTTTGATGGCTAAGGTCTCTAAAATTTATTTTAGGTTGTAAAGTACCAAAATTATCCTTCCTTTATAACATAAATTTATTTGAATATTATATTGTTGACTAAACTGATAGATTTTGGAAACCGAATTTGCAGTGGAGATTTCGTCGGAATTTTCGTCGGAGATTTCAGTGGAGATTTCATGGTGGAGATTTCGTCGGAGATTTCAATGGAGTTGACGAGAAAGATTGCTACGATCGTGTAGATTTCGTCGGAGATTTCGTCGGAGATTTCAGTGGTGTTACAGTGTGTTGATCGCGTAGATTTTCAGTGGAGTTGAATCAGGTTTGTTTTCGATGGAGATACCACATGCATTTTGATTTTTGTTTTGAATTTTTATTTAGAGAGAAGCCAGCTTGATAGATTTGATTTTTATTTTTGGAATTAATTTTTTATTATTTGTTTTTTAATCAATCTCAAAGAGTGTTGACAGTGTGTTGATCGCGTAGGTTTTTGAGTGGAGTTGAATCAGGTTTGTTTTCGATTTAGATTACACATGGATTTTGATTTTTGTTTTGAATTTTTGTTTAGAGAGAGGCCAGCTTGATAGAGTTGATTTTTATATTTGTAATTAATTAATTTTTCATTCTTTATTTTTTGATCAATTTCAAATAGTGTTGACAGTGTAGGTGATTTTGATGTTTAGAGTTCATTTTTGGTGCTCTGTTTTTTATCAACATGCTGATCAATGATAAGTTTTGTTCTATGTTTTTTCAAACCAGAGAAATTTCATTTTCTGCACTTTTGTTTGTGTAGTCTAGAGGAAATTATAAGTGCATATGGACATATTATTAGAAGTTTCTAATGCAGATAGAATATGAGAAAGTGAATGTAAGTTCATAAATTTTTCTGGACTTGTATTTGTAGTTCAGAGAAAATTGTAAGTTTGTTACTCACTTTCAGTTTGTAGTTCAGAGAAAATTATATGTTTGTAAAAGATGAATAGAAGTTTTTGTTTGTCTAAGCAAAAGTTATTTTTTGTGTTTTTTCTTTCAATTTAGATAGACAATGCAGTGTTTTTTGTTATCTTGAAGGTGTATATAAGTTTGTAAATTTCTCTGAATTTTTCTATGAGTGCAATATTACAGAATGACGCATAGAAAATTGTTAGGTTGTAGTGAGGTGAAAATCATGGAGAAGCCTATAATTTCATAACAGATATTCTGTGTGATTTTTTTCTATGATTGTGTTTAATAGTTAGCAGTAAATTTCTCTGTGATTCATTAAGTTTTTGTGATTTTGTTTTTTATCATCTTGAAGGTGAATATCAGTTTGTAGATGTCTTTGGACTTTTATTTTAAGTTCAGAGAAAATTATAAATTTTAGAAATTTCTCTAGACTTTTATGTTGTTCTTGTGAAGTGTTTCTATGTTAAACAAATTATTTTTGTTGTTTTTTATTTCAGTTTCAATGGACAATGCAGTGTTGTTGCTGTGCAAATATAGGAATGATACTATTGTCATTAATGTTTCATGCGAATTGAATTTTGAGGAATTGGTTGGCATTTTGTGTAAAACATGGGAGAATTTGAAACCTGAGACTATGTGTATTTCATATTCTATTTTGGGCCATCCGAATTGTATGGTTCGAAATAATATTGATTTTCTGAATATGTTGAGGGTTGTTTGTGCACGCGGTGTTGATATAGTTGATGTTTCAGTTACTAGATGTAGTACTTCTGATGAAGAGGATGAAGTGGGGTCTAATTGGGTAGATGTTGTGGATGGTGAGTGTGATAGGCTGGGGGATGTTGAAAGGAATTCACTCTCTAAGTTTTGTTCTCACCAAGAAAAGGTGTTATTGTCGGCTAGTTGGCGGAATAATATTACGAGTGTTAGACAAAAGTTTGAGGGTGGTGTGTATGCTATTGAGGTTGGTTTTCAGTTTACGTATGTTAAAAATGACAAGCTGAGGGTTACGGCAGAATGTGCATATAAGGAATCAAGGGGATGTATGTGGCGTGTACATGCTTCTGTTGAAAAAACAAATGGGTTCTTCTACATAAGGACTTTGAACAATGAACATACGTGTGGTGTGGTGGTTCGTATGAGTAAACATTCGAGGATGACTTCCAGCTTTGTTTCTGGGCTGATACTTGAAGAGGTAAGTGCAAAACCTTTAACTCATCCAGTGGATGTTGTGAAGGAAATGAAAGACAAGTATGGGGTCTCAATCAGTTATAACTGTGGTTGGTTAGGTGTTGAAAAAGCAAAATGTAGTACATATGGGGATTCTTGTTTGTCATTTGATTAATTACGGTGGTATTTTGATGAGGCATTCAAGAATAATCCAGGTAGTCATTTTGAGTTAGATTTTGAAGATAACAAGCGTTTCAAAAGAGTGTTTGTGGCTTTTCATGCATGCATTGCTGATTTCAAATATTGTCAGTCATTGTTTTTTCTTGATGGAACATTTTTGAAAGGACGATACAAAGGAGTTATGCTTGCTGCAACGGGGAAAGATGGGAATGAAGGTAATTGTAAATATATCTAATTTTATCTAAGTATGTGAATTTTCTATACATGTAGGAATTGAGTGAATATGAATTTTCTCTGGTTTTGGCCTCTGTGAGAATTTTCACTAGATTTTGGTCAGTGTATGAATTTTCTCTGGATGTTGTCATTGTGTGAATTGTGTCTGTAGGTGGTCACTAAGTGAATTTTCTCTGGATATTATGATTGTGTGAATTTTCTCTGTAGTTGGTCACTAAGTCAATTTTCTCTGGATGTTGCCAATGTGTGAATTTTCTCTGGAGTTGGGCACTAAGTGAATTTTATCTGGATGTTGGCAGTGTCAAACTTCTCTGGTTGTTTATTGTTCTATTTTTCTCTGCATGTGTATATCTAATATGCTTGTTCCTATTTGTTTTGTAGGTTTTTTTCCTGTAGCTTTTGCTGTTGTTGATGCTGAGAATAAAGACAATTGGTGTTGGTTTCTTGAACATTTATGTGGAGTATTGGGATCAGAAAGGGTGATAAGTTTCATATCAGATCGACATTGTGGTATTGTGGAGGGAATTGCTAGGTTTTTCCCTAACTACTTTCATGGATTTTGTCTGGAACATCTGAAGAGAAATTTGAGGGATAAGTTGTCAGGTGGAAATACAAATTTGGTTAGGGAGACGATTGTGTCGAAGTTTTCAGAATGTGCATATGCTCTAACAAAGGTTTCATTTCATTTCAAGTTAAATGAATTAAAAAGTGAGGGAGGAGACATTGTGAGTGTTTTCTTGAGAAGTTTACCATATAAAAATTGGAGTGATGCATATTTTGCGGGGAAACGTTATGGTGAGATGTATTCAAATGTTGCTGAGTCATTCAATTCATGGATACGAGAAGCTCGGCACTTGCCAATAACAAATTTGGTGGACATGATACGGTTGCAAATCATGAATATGAGGTCTGATAGGAGGCTGCTCTCTAGTAAATGGAATAAAATTCTGTGTCCTCGTATGGATAGTGTGTTGGAGAAGTATTTTTTGGATGGGAGGACATGGAATGTGAGTTTATCATCTAATAATGTCTTTGAAGTGCATTGTTTTCCTTCGGTTATGGTTGATCTTGGGTTGAGAACTTGTTCATGTCGAAAATGGGAAATAAATGGGTATCCATGTCAACATGCTGTTGCTGCAATTTTTAGGAGTGAAAAGAATTTGAATTCATTTGTTAAACCATTTTTTCATGCTGATATGTATCGTCAAGCATACTCATTTTCGATTGGCCCAATTCCAACTGTTGAAAAACCTGTGTGTAGCATTGAAGATGCTATGATTTTACCTCCATTGAGCAAGAGACCTGCTGGGAGGCCGAAGAAAAACAGAATTGCTTCTAGTGGAGAGTTTAAAAGGGTGATTAAGTGTAGTCGTTGTGAGAGTATTGGTCACCATAATAAGAGGACATGCAAGGAACCTTTGTTAAATAGTTGAGACAATTTTCTCTGTGTGGATATGTACATTGTCTTCCTTTCACTAGTTTCACTATTGCATTTGTGGTTCTTCTGGAGGTATTTTAATCGGTTCAGTCCATGACCAGCCAACTTTGGTCACAAATCTCTCTATGAGTTCTGCCCTCATCAATCTTATCTTTTGTGTGGACAATTTGGAGCTGATAGGTTCATGCTTGCTATATTGTTTCATTATATAGCAGACAAAGAGGCCACAATCCAGACTGCATACAAATTATAGGTATGGTTAGTTTTAAGAAACATGCAAATCAGATTATCTTATTTATAGATGTATGAAACTTACGAATCACTTTCTTGTTGTGGAGCACTGTTGACATACTCAAAGTCGTAACTTGTGTTTTGTGAGTTTATTAATTTGAAAGAGGGTTGTGATTGAGCGTCTCTTTCAAGGCAAGCTTTCAAAAAATTCTCCACGTAATCTTGCTGCAAAAAAATAATTTTTAAATAAAAGAGAAATTTACGGACAAATCGATGGGATTCTATGAAAATTATCATCACATAAAGCTGATGATGGATCAGAGAAAATTGCACTCGTTACCAATTCTTTTGCATCTTTGACATATTTGTCTTCTGCATCATCCCTCCTTGGCCTTAGTGAGTTGTAGAACCTCCATAAATTGTCTTGTTTGTCTAGGACAAGCAAGGTCCAGTGATTTCCATGTGTGGACTTTTCATTACCTCCAGTATTTATTGGGAAATGGAGGAACCTGTAGTTCCTCCATGCTGTTTCGATATGCTTGTCAAATAAGGACACTCGAAAACTTTGATTTTCTGTCATGTTGATGAAATTCTGTGCTCAGAGAAAATCAAAAAATGGTTTTGTTATGACTAGTGACACAACTGACTTCAAGAAGTATATTAAGAAGAGAAAGTAGTAAGTAAATTCCAGAGAAAATCAAATAAAATAGTAGTAACATACTAAGCACATGGATGTGAAAAAAAATGAGGTTGGTTGTTGTTTCTCTCTGATTTGGTCAGCCAAAAGGATCTCTCCATAGCCATCAATGACCTGAAAAATATGATTTATAATTGTAATATTGTTTTATAAAGGCTGATGGAACATTGCAGAGAAATGTTGATGAAAGGGAAAGACTTACATTGTTGGCAATTTCTTTTTGCTTTATTAGGTTTCCAATGTCTTCAAAGGTAATGAGATTCAACTCACTTGTCCAAATTAAAGTGCTACAAGATGACAAAGAAGGGATTGAATTGTTGTTAATGCAATATAAGTTTGTAATTTGTTGTTTGTTATGTTCTATTTTGTTTGTTGTACTTACTCAAGCCCAGACACATTTGATATGTGCTGCAAGATGTCTTTTACATGATCTTTTACCAATCTTGAAATAGGAAGAGTTTGTGGAAAGACCCAAGATTTTCTGATGTTTATAGGTTGAGGCAAGATGTACGCATCAGCATCAAGCACTTCTTTGTCCTTCGTGCTTTGTTCAACTTGCTTTGCAGCTTGTTTTGAAGCTCTAGTCACTTTCGCAACTTTGGGATATTGGAATTCTGGATCATGCTGCTTTTCCTTCCTTTCTTTTGCCTTTAAATTTTTTATCATTGATGTCGGATCTTTTTTGACTGTAGACAGTGAAAATATTAGGAAAAGTGAAATTTCTCTGAAGTAACAGATGATGTTTCAATATGCAAATTTATTTGATTCAATATTTTGCAATTACCATAGAATTTTGTCTTTTGTTTCGGTTGTTCTTTGTGTGCCATTTGTTCTTGTTGGGTTGTTGGTTGTTGTTCCACTTGCATTCCAACTATACACAGTGAAAATCAAACAAGCCCCAAAAATGGAATAAGAAAATATACAGAGAAAATGAAATGAGCAATAGAAATATAACTAATGTGTTCAGAGAAATATAACTTCCAGAGAAAATTACCAATGACAGAGAAAATTATAATAAATAGAAATTTCTCTGAGTTATGTTCTTCTCCGCTGCTTGCTTGATGTTCTTGTCCATTGCTGGCTTCGTATTCTTCTATGTTGCCTTCTGCTTGTTCATTCCCTCCATCTTCAGATGGATCTTGTAATGTCTCCTTGAATTTGACAATTGCCTTTTTTGATTCTTTCTTCATCTTTTTGCCAAGACAGAACTCCTCTGATGGGTTTTTGACTAGCTGCTTGTTATCTATCTGTAACAGGAGACTCTTTTATTAGAGAAATGTTACAAAATTCACTGAGAGAAAAAATTCAAATAAGGAAAATAAAATTCATCTAAATGATACTAATGGGAAACAAACTTCAGAGAAAATTATATGGGCCAGAGAAAATTAGAGACATGGAGTTGATTTTATGAGGCAGAGAAAATTATGAAACAAGCAACATAATTTAGATATCAGAGAAAATCAGTCAAGGAATATAAGTTAATGCTTTACTACAACTGTGTCAGAGAAATTTGGATTCCAGAGAAAATTCATTAGAAGGGTAGAAATAAACAGTGTTTATCAAAGATGCAAGGCACATAAGTTATGGGCAGAGAAAATTACACACAAAGAGATAAAATTTGATGGCTAGAGAAAATTATGAAACAACTAACATAATTTATATATCAGAGAAAATCAATCAGGGCATATAAGTTAATGTGTTACAATTGTGGTTAGAGCAATTTGGATTCTAGAGAAAATTCATTACAAGGGCAAAAATACACCAGTGGTAAGAAGAAAACATAAATTGATAGTTCAGAGAAAATTGATCTTAATTAATCAATGCACAAGGAGGGAAACAAAGCAGTGGTCAGAGAAATTTTAGAATTTCATTGAGATTTCAGTAGCAATAGGAATCTAACCTGCCGAGGTGCAAGAGAGTGGACTGGTGTTTTCTGCAGCTGTTTCGTCAAGGTTTGCAGGTTCCACTTGGCACATCTTGGGAAGTTAGTTGTGTTACTGTCTTCCGAGTCAATGATAGTTGCATGTTCACATAGCCAATACTGTGATGAAAATGAAAGTAAATAAAATTTTCTAAACGCACAAATTTGTAAGTAAAATAACTGCAAATTTGAATAGATATTATACTTACCAGCAATGCAATGACCCACCCCGTAACTTTTTCTGGAGTTTTGTGCAATGCCATGATAGAATCAATCAATGTTGATGTGATTGCTTCCGGCCAATCATACTGTTTCATTGATTCAAGAAGTTCCACATACTTTATAAAAACCCAACCTATTGAATTTCTACTTGTTGCAAAAAATGGGGTGAGACACAAGTACAATGTAACAATGATTGCTATATCTTTGAAGTCAGTTGGTTGCTTGCCTTTCATTGCATTGACCAAGGCATTTTTAAGAACGGGACCAGTGAGCCTTGTGTCCTTTTGGAATCTTCTCCTAAGGAATGCAGATTTTGGCTTTTTAGAGTATCTTAATGACATGGCTCCTTTACCTCATTCCAAACCAAAAATCAAAGTCATGTCATTTGTTGTAAAGGTCAGGTTCTTCTTACCAACTGTGAATGTTTTTGTTTTTTCATTGTAACATTGGATTATGGCAACTACATCATCATCGGATTTCTTAGATTTCTTTGGATCCATCCTTCCAGTGGTTAGAGCTTGGATCAAATACCAGAATGGGGTCTTTTGAAGCTCTAGAAGTTGTTTTGAATTGAATTTAAGTGTTTGAAAAAAGGAGACGACAGATGAGAGGTTGGATGGGAATTGAATGTTGTAGTGAGCTCTCTTTCTGTGGAGTTTAACAGGTTTTTTCCCCCTTGAGCTTGACTCTTTTGAAGTTGGGGTACTCATCTAGATGCTAGTTGCTTCATCAATTTGGACTTGTGTGTTTTGGTGAGGAGTTTGTGGTGTTTTGCTTGTGGTTTTTGATCTTCGATGATAAGAAGACTGAGAGAGTTATTCTTTCTTGCTTGGTGTTTCTAGTGTTTTGCTGCTGGTTTTTGATCTTAGTCCATAAGAAGACTGAGAGAGTTTTTGTTTTTTGCTTGGTGTTTCCGGTGTTTCGCTGCTTTTACGTTTTGCCATTTTCTAGACAATGATTAAAACATAAAGATGTCAACATTAAATTCCAGAGAAAATTGGACATATCAGAGAAAATTACAGATAAAGGAGAAAATTGGAGATGCCAGAGAAAATTACAGATAAAGGAAAATTACAGAAAATTGGACATGCCAAAGAAAATTTGACATGCTAGAGAAAATTGGACATTAAAAATTAAATGTCAGAGAAAATCAACACAGCATCATAAACATGAGAGAGAAATTTTCAATAATTGTTAAAATTACATACAGAAGTAAACATACCAGAGAAAATGAATGATAGAAAAAAGTAAACATGGCAAGCGAAAGAAAATTTCCATTCCACAATTAGCAAGATAAAATAAACAAAGTAATGTAAACATGCCACTAAGAATTACACCATATTGAAACCAAGAATTGAACAAAATAAACATACCAGAGAAAAATACACATTCTGGAGAAAAGTACACATTCTTGAGGAAATTTCCATTCTAGAGAAAATTTCAATTCATTATATTAAAATGCAAGAGATATTTACATACACAACAGAGAAAATTAACCATGATAGAGACACTCAAGGGACGAAAGTGGTGTGATGTGGTCAGAGAAAATTATAAATACCAGAGAAACTTAGACAGAGGCAAGAGAGTAATAGACATTCTAGAGAAAGATAGACATTCGAATTAGAAATACATATTACAGAGAAATTTACAGATCAGGGAAATTTATAGACAAAATTACAGAAACATGTTCAAGAATAAGATAAAAACACAGAAATTTGTTTTTGTGAAAATAAACATGCCAGAGAAAATTGAAAGAATAAACATACATCAAGCAAAAATTAGAGAAATTTAAATGCCAAAGAAATTTATAGATAAAATCACACGAACATGTTCAAGAATAAATTCAAAACACATAGAAATAACTTTTTCCAAATTCAGGTAGCTTTTTATTACGAAATTGAAACCCTAATTTATGGAAGGTTATTATAAAATGCTATTAACTGTGTTTCCAGAGAAAATCTAGTTGTATTGTAGAAAAACTGACCAGAGTTAGGATGAAACTTGAATGACAAGCTGATATGGCCGAGATGAAGATGCGACTGACGAAGATGGACTGAGATGATGATGAGCAGTGAAAACGAAGCTTTAACCTAGGTCAGAGAATTTTGTGAGGAAGGATGGGAATGATTTTTGGAGAAGATAACGACGCTTTAATGTCGATGGTGCAGATGATGTTGAAACCCTAATTCTGCTGTTCTCCTGTTCGTGAAGATGCTGGATGTTTGGAATGTAACTCAGACGTCGGAATGAGTTTCGTTTCTGTGTTGATTTTGGCAAGGGTATTTTGGTCCACAAAATAATTAAAAATGCGCGCCAAGTTGTTCAGAGACCAGATGCATCACTATTTTTTTGGGTGTCCTTTATGCTCTAAATTGTTATTATTAGGGACTTTAAAAAAAATCTCCCATGCCAAAAAGCCAATTTTCACTGATTTCATGAAGCAAAAAAATAAAAATGCACCTAAAAATCAAAGAAAACGACATTAATGTAACAGAAAAGTAGAGTTTCCATTCAGACAGACATTCGAACTCAAAACATGCATATATAACTTTCTAACTTTATACAAACATAGCCAAACAAACACGAAATGACCACGTCCACTTTATTTATAAGAAAAACACTAAAAAAACCTTCATAATTTAAAGAAGCCTCTTACCCACAAGCACAAAGATGTTATACAGGGAGATTTTTTTTAAGGTCCCTAATAATAATAATTTAGAGCATAAAGGACACCTAAAAAAATAGTGATGCATCAGGTCCCTGAACAACTTGGCGCGCGTTTTTAATTATTTTGTGGACCAAAATACCCTTGCCAAAATCAACACAGAAACGAAACTCATTCCGACGTCTGAGTTCCATTCCAAACATCCAGCATCTTCACGAATAGGAGAACAGCAGAATTAGGGTTTCAACATCATCTGCACCATCGACATTAGAGCTTCGTTATCTTCTCCAAAAATCATTCCCATTCCTTCCTCACAAATTTCTCTGACCTAGGTTAAAGCTTCGTTTTCACTGCTCATCATCATCTCAGTCCATCTTCGTCACGTCGCATCTTCATCTCGGGCCATATCAGCTTGTCATTC